TGGGAATTGCTTTTTACCCCGTTGGAGACGTCGGCCGACAGCTGCCGGTGCCGTAAGTGGCTTTGGGATGCAGCTGAGGTTTGTGGCTGTCGGCAGAAGGTGGACTCGGAATGTCGTCTGCGGTGACTCAGCAGAGTTTGAATACAGGGTGAAGCTGGTAGCGTGGCTCTGCAGACAGGGCAGCTGGTTCAGGCACAGCTGCTCAGTTCCCAGCAAAGGTCTTTCGCCTTAAATTGTGCCCAAACTTAAAGCCCGTAGAGCTCTCACGTGTGGAACCTGCCACGAGTGTGGATGCTGAAACGGCACAAGAATTGTGCGTACCCAGATGTTAACACCCCGAGGTGACCACACGTTCACTGCTGCCGTGTAGGTCACACCTATGGAGTCCTTAAGCTTTTAAAACTCCTCTGCTTGTGTGAAGACTTTTCATTTGTAAAACTTCAGTCGCTGTGAAGTTACAGCTCGATGTGTACAGGTTCTGCTGGTCTGGCTTGGTTGTCTTATCTTTCCTGCCAATCTTGCTCAGCTTCGTGCTAGTACCAAGCTCTGGTTTTGCAGTAATAAATGTTCATGTTCTGGAAGCAGACACGTGTTCCACTTCCACAGGATTCCTTTCAGGCAGGAGCCTCCACGGCAGCGGTGAGGCACAGCCTCCAAGGTTTGGCCCAGTGATGATCAAGTATCGCGCTAAGAGAGAACAGGTCCAACAGTCGCTGTCTGGGCAGCCTGCACCTCACGCTTCTCCTTCTTTTTGCTCTCTGACATCATCTCTCCTTCTCTCTGCTTTTTTTCCTTCCTTATCTTTCCTTGTCTTTTCTGCTTTGCTCTTCTGCCCAGACAAGATTGTGGCCTTCTCAATGACGGGTAAGATTATGAGATCTGAGGGCTGAGTAATGACTCGAGATTCCATTTTAAGAACAAATTGAACAAAATGGAAGGATTTTAGTTAGCTTGCCTCCTCATCCCTACCGTCTTTGATGTTGGAAAACTGACCTTATTGAGGCCTTAAAACTGGTTCTTAATGCTTCTTGAAGCTGTGAAGTATGAATTAATCTTTGTTCAGCCTGTCTTCTTTTGAACTGCAGCAGAGTTCATTTGGAGAGGTGCATCCAGGTGCTTGCTGCTTGTGAGTTTCTGTCCTGGCTCGTTAAGTGTGATTTGTTTTGTCACACAGGCAGTTAATAGTTAAGTATTGGATTTTTCTCTGTAGCTAAACGTTTGTTTAACCCCGTTGTATTTATTTCGCCCTGATTTGTTAGAACATCCTGGTGGGAAAGGAAGACTGAGTCTTTGTAACAGAGAATCCTCAGTGCCAATATTGGTTAAATTGGTATTTTTCTATCCAGCCATCCAAAAGGTAACTTGAAATGTGTTGGGTAAAGCAGATCAATCTGACCACTCAAAACTGGGCTGTTAGAAGGTGACTTTCGTTCTGCTTTCTGGCTACATCTGAAATGCTGCAAAACTTCCCACTGTTAATCACAAGCCTATGGAGAAGCCCATCAGATAGTGGTGGAGTTGATTTTTGAAATACCACAGGATGACAGCTGAGCAGAGGGAGGAGTCTGCTGCTGCTTCAGCCACATCACGTCCTGCTGTTGTGATCTAGTGCTAACAAACGATAATTTGTCATTTGCTGAATTGTCCCATTTTACTTTCTCTTCTCCCAACTTAAATTCTCTGGCCAAGTGGGAGAGAGGAAGTTTGTGGGTGCAAGCTGGAAGGAAACTACCTCTTTGTTAGGCAGTCTGGGGACTGTGGCATCCACAACGTGCCTTTCCGTATTTGCTTAGCGTAGGGAAACCCAAATCTGCCTGATTTATGGTCTGTTGAAAGAAAGGACCCTTTTCCAGGCTGCTCCTTGATTACTCTGTAAGAGATCAAGCAGTCAAGTTAACTTCTCCTCCTGGACAGGAATCATACTTCGGCTGGCAGTGGGAGAGTTTCTTCCGCTTGCATGGAAAGTTTTCATGAGATTGTTTAAAGACAATAAGCACGCAAAATCCTCCTTCTGTCCTTAAACTGAGGTGTGCAGTGTTGACCAGAGGAGGCAGATGCAGTTTAAGGTGCTTGCTGAAGCTGGTTGGTGCTGCGTGGAAAAGACAGCGAGGTGCAGAAGTGGAAAATAGTCTGAG